GTTTCTTTAGGTAGATATACTCCTAAGTATTTTATTCTTTTTGTTGCAATGGTGAATGGTATTGTTTCCTTAATTTCTCTTTCTGTTTTCTCATTGTTAGTGTATAGGAATGCAAGGGATTTCTGTGTGTTAATTTTATATCCTGCAACTTTACTATATTCATTGGTTAGCTCTAGTAATTTTCTGATAGGGTCTTTAGGGTTTTCTATGTAGAGGATCATGTCATCTGCAAACAGAGTTTCACTTCTTCTTTATTTGGTCAAATATTATTCTAGAAGTTTCTGTGAAAGCATTTTTTGGATGAGATTAATATTGAAACCAGTGGTCTTTGAGAAAGCAATAATGTGGTGGATCTTACTATCAGTCGATGGCCTTAACAGAACAAAGGCTGATCTTCTCTGAGAGCAAGAAGGAATTTTGACAGAAGACTGCCTTTGGGCTAGAACTGTAACTCTTCCCTGGGTCTCCAGCCTGCCAGCCTATTTGGTAGACTTTAGACTTACTAAGCCTCCATAATCACATGAGCCAATTCCTTATAATAAATCTATTTTCACTGAGGAGACAACCTCTTATACAACTGCATCAAAGAATAAAATACTTAGGAACAAACCTGCCTAAGGAGGTAAAAGACCTGTACCCAGAAAACTTTAAGACAATGAGGAAAGATACTGAAGACAACACAGGTGGAAAGACATACTATGTTCATGAATTCAAATAATTAATATTGTTAAAATGATCATACTCCCCAAGGCTATCTACAGATTCAATGCAATCCCTATCAAAATATCAAAGGCTTTTTTAATTTTTTACAGAATTACACCAAATAATTTTAAAGTTTATACAGAAACACAAAAGACACCCTAAAAGCTAAAACAATTTTGAGAAAGAAAAATGAAGCTGGAGGAATAAGGCTCCCTTAACTTCAGACTATACTACAAAGTCACAGGCATCAAAACTGTATGGTGTTGGCACAAAAAGAGAAACATAGATCAAATGAAAAGAATAGAGAGCCCAAAAATAAACCCACGCACGTATGATCAACTCTTCTATGATAAAAGAGGCAAGAATATGCAACAGAGAAAAGATAGTCTCTTCAATAAGTGGTGCTGGGGAAACTAGACAGTTACCTGTAAAATAATGTAATTACAACATTCTCTAACACCATATACAAAAATAAATTCAAAATGGATTAAAGACCTAAATGTATGACTGGAAACCATAAAATTCACAGAAGTAACATACACAGAACACTCTTTGGTATAAATCCTAGCAGTCCTTTTTTGGATCTGTCCCCTAAGGCAAAGGAAAAGCAAAAATAAACAAAAGGATGTAATTAAACATAAACGCTTTTTGCACAGCAAAGGAAATCACCAACTAGATGAAAAGACAATCTACTGAATGGGAAAAAATATCTGCAAATGATACGACTGGTAAAGGGTTACTACCCCCAAAAAATAAATAGCTCATAAAACAAAACATCAAAAAAAAAAAATTAAAAATGGACAAAAGGCCTAAAGAGATATTTTTCCAAAGAAGACAAACAGATAGCCAACAGGCACTCTCAACATCATTAATCATTGGAGAAATGCAAATTAAAATCATAATGAGATATCATATCACACTTGTCAGAATGACTATCATCAAAAAGAATATAAATAACAAAAGCTGGTGAGGATGTAGAGAAAAGGGAACCCTCGGTGAGAATGTAAACTGGGGTAGCCACTGTGGAAAGTAGTATGGAGGTTCTGCAAAAAACTGCAAACAGAACTACCATATGATCCAGCAATTCCACTCTTGGGTATATATCTGAAAAAAATAAAAACACTAATCCAAAAAGATACATGCACTCAGTATTCACAGCAGCATTATTTATAACACAACAGCCAAGATATGGAAGCAATCTAAGTGTTCATCAACAAATGATCAGATAAAGAAGTGGTATGTATGCACAACAGAATACTACACAGCTATTAAAGAATGAAATCTTGCCATCTGAAACAAAATGGATGAACTCGGATGGTATTATGCTTAGTGAAATAAGTCAGTCAGTCAAAGACAAATACTGTATGTTATCACTTACATGTAGAATCTAAAAAATAGAGGATACATTAGTGAGTGTAACAAGAAAGAAGCAGATTCACAGATACAGAAGACAAACTAGTGGTTACCAGCAGGAGAAGACAGTGGGAGGGGAAAAATAGGGACAGGGTACTGACAGGCATAAACTACTACGTGTGAACTTTCCAGGTGGCAGAATCTGCCTGCCAATGCAGGAGACTCAAGAGACGTGGGTTCGATTCCTGGGTCAGGAAGATCCCCTATTCTTGCCTGAAAAATTTCATAGACAGAGGAGCCTGGTGTGCTACAGTCCATGGGGTTTCAAAGAGGCAGACACAAATGAACACACAGACACACACATTATGTATAAAATAAACAGACTACAAGGATATATTGTACAGCACAGGGAATATAGCTAATATTTTTAATAACCAAATGAAGTATCACCTTTAAAATGTGAATTACTGTGTTGTATACTTGAACCATATTTTGTACATCAACTATATCTCAATTTTCACAAAAAGGAATGAATGAACAAATGAATAAATAAATCTCTGTCTCCACACACAGACACACACACCCTTTTGGTTCTCTTTCTCTGTAGAACACTGACACATATAAGTATCTAAGTAAGGCACTGATTCTCAACTAGAGATGAGGGAGATGCGGGGTTGATAAAAAGAGCAGAGGGGTTGGGGATAATAGGTAATTTTGAAAAGGTCTGAAGCAGACTTTGTGAATACTGATTCAAAAGCCATTCACAACCTTTGTCTGTTACAGAGATGAAAATGCTAAAATGAATTTTCTACCTTTGCCTGCAGCTAAGGGGTAACCCTGTGACAGAGTTGTGGCCATATTCCTGAGAATGGCTCCGTTCCTGAATAAAAAGCTAAAGCCTCACTAGGAGAAAGCACCATGCTCTAACAGTTCTCCCTGCCTGGTCTACTAAGGATTCAGATGTAAAGCAGTGCCTGGAAGAACTGAAGGTCAGCTCTGCTGCTGCAACCATTCCCCAGTGTCCCATGCACAGTATTCTCAACAGAAGAGCAAGCAGAACCTGGCTTCTCAGGCCAACCTGTATTGAAAGCTGAGAAACTTTACCTATTTCATGTTAAATATTATTATATAGAGAGCTTTAAAAAATATAGCTGTACTCGTTCTCCACTGAGGCTAGGTAAGGTCAAAATCCTCAGTGGGAAGGACCTGGTCTCGAAGAATTTCCCAAAAGTAATAATTATGAAGCAATGATAATTAAAATTATAATGGTTATGAATCATTGAATTAATAAAGAAGGCTGTAGGGTCTTAAAAAGGAGTCTTTGAAAATATGACCTAAATTTTTTTAATGGCATTCCACTTCAAACATAAAGAGTTAGGATTGAGTGGCACTTTGACATCACTGCATTTTGTAATGTAGTATTGCATTCAAAATTTTACCTCAGTTAACTTTTAGTATTTGTTATAGTTGACAGGGCTTCCCTTGTAGCTCAGTTGGTAAAGAATCTGCCTACCATACAGGAGACCTGTGTTCAATTCCTTGGTTGGGAAGATCCCCTGGAGAAGGAACTGGCAACCCACTCCAGTAATTCTTGCCTGGAGAATCCTAGGGACAGAGGAGCCTGGCAGGCTCTAGTCCATGGGGTCGCAAGAGTTGGACACAACTTAGTGACTAAACCACCACCACCACAGTTGAGAACTAAAGAGTTCCTTAGAGAACTAAAAATCACTATGCAATAAAACCTCACTAACAAATCATTAACAAGGAACTTATGGGCCAAGTTACTGAATGTAAAAGAAAGGCCCAAATTACCTAATAATTTTTAAAGTCAACAGTATTATATCTTTGAGTTTATCCATGATGCAGTTTTTAAAATATTTTCTCCAGTTCTACCTATAAGAAAAAAAAATCAAGTGCTACTGAATCATGTTTTGTGCTTCATAGTTTTGTACTGACCTTTTTTTTCTCCAGTGTAGGGCACATAGTCTTCCCTGTCCTTATGCTCCAAAGCTTCCTTCTCCAGATATGAAAGGAGGTGTTCTCGATCAAATGGCCCTGTGGCAGACTTTGATGTCTGGTTCTTCTGCCGGAACCCTGCAGGCAGAAGGGCGTTCTGCCAAAGAGAATGAATCAGCCATTATGACCAGCAAGAAGACTAATGCTGTATGCATCCAGATGTTACCCATCTAAGAAAGAATTATAGACTAGAATGAGATGTAGGCATTAAAGACTTCATTACAGGCTTTGAGGGCAGCAACATAAAAGTATTCCAAACGAAGTTTTTTAAAATTAGGTAGAATTAACTTACACTATTATTTAAATAGGCACATTCGCCTCTTCTTCAGAGAATATTCTACTAGCAGTAAACATCCTTTATTTTTTAAGTGTCCTGGGACAGTAATAAAAAATAGTTTGTGATGCTTAATACCAGCTCAACATATATGTATATACAGAATACATTGTAACATTCATTGCAAAAGAATGCTAAATGACTATATACATGATCAGTTCAGTTCAGTTCAGTTGCTCAGTCGTGTCTGACTCTTTGCAACCCCATGAATCGAAGCACGCCAGGCCTCCCATAGTCCTTCATAATGTTTGCTATTTCATCATAAAGATTTTTTTCATAAGAAAAATATGTATACATACAGTGTATCTATACAGGATATCAGGCAATTAACGCTTACTTGTTTGTGTTTAAACGCAATGTGTTCAACCTCAATGTGTACGCACGTGTGTATACATCGGCACTAGGATGTATTTGGAGCAACCACTGTCATTGGCTACTCATGCACTAAGACGCTCAGAGATGGCAAGAGTTATATCCCCAGGTTTCCACATGGGTACAGCCTTTTCAGTGCACAGAGCAACTGACAGCAGGGGGAGAGGGGCAGGCGATGGACTAAAGTTGCCTCTTTTAGGTCCTACTCTGTATTTTCACTAAGCCCAAGAATAACAAGCAGTGACTAGACAATGTGACGGTCATCCTTTTGCTTTGTCAAAAACCAAAGAGGTGATATTACCTTGTCTCACAGTTCTTAAGTATTTTTTGCTTTGAAAATGGGAGGCGAACAAAAAGTCACATAAAAGGGCCAACTCTGTTCTAAAGTACCTCCCAATATCCGTGAGGATGTTGAATCTCCTGGCTGTTATAAGATCATTTTTCATTGGGGTAATCTTATATGGATAATGATAAAAAGAAATTTTCATTGTATAACTAAAAATATGGTATGGCACTTCAACTCTGGCCATTTGCTGAAATCCACAATAATTTTCATAAAATTCATCTTTTGTGTTTTCCTCATGTAACGTTACATGTATTACACAGAAAGTTCATCTTTCAAGATGAAATACAAAAGAGATCTGTTCCTAACCATGCACCAAAAATGTTTCTACAACACAAAACTGTCTATAAGAACAACAAAAAAAAAACCCCACAAGATTTCTACCCTCTGGCTTTGAAATCAAGGCAAGAGCTTCACATGAGGAATCCATTCCCAACCAACCATCCTACCATTTTTACTCCCTAAAGAACTGTCTAACTTTCCTCCATCTCTAACACAATTACTCTGGTCTACACTATGATCCAAGCTGGGATGGAATATAGCATAGGCCTCTCAACTGGTCTCCCTGGATCAGCTGCCAAATACTCTTCAACCTTCACTCCCACCCCATTCCCCCCCACCCTAGAGGTTATCCCAGCCTCATCTCACACAATCTCTCCATTCGAGGTACATCAGCCCTTGTTCCTCCCTTTTACCTGCCATACACCTGCCTTCCCTGGGATGCTCTGCCCATTCTTTTTTGTTATTCGTTTTTCAGAATGCAGATTCATCCCTCCACGGAAAGCTTTTCCTAACCTCCCGTTATATGCTCTTATATGGCATGATTATTTGATTAATGTCTAACTCCCCCTACTCCTACCAGCCTGTCTCATGAGGGCAAAGACCACGTTTGTTTAGATCACTCTTGCATCCCTAAGCCTAGCATAGTACCTGAGATATATAGGTTGTTTCCCACCCCCAATAATTACTGAATAAAGACTTTACAACACTCAGCATCTCTGATCTTCATTGTGGCACATGGGATGTTTAGTTGTGGCATGTGGGATATTTAGCTGCCACATGTGGGACCTAGTTTCCTGACCAGGGATCGAACCTGTGCCCCTTGCATTGAGAGCATGGAGTCATAGCCACTGTACCATCAGGGAAGTCCCTGAATAAGGATTTGAGAATATTTTTTAAGAAAAGATTGTTTTGATGTTGACCATTTTAAAGTCTTTACTGAACGTGTTACAGCACTGCTTCTGTTTTATATTCTGATTCTTTTGGCCTCAAAGTATGTGGAATCTTACCTACTGGATGAGGGGTCAATCTCACACCTCCTGCATTGGAAGGCGCAGTCTTAACCACTGGTTCACTAGGAAAGTCCTGAGGACATTTTTAAAGAAAAATGCTCATTAAGGCAAATTAATACAAGCTACTTCCCTTCACCATCAATAGGACCTTTATACATATACTGCTATTTCATGGCGGTAGCAACAGAGTTGCAGTGTTCCACCTGCCTATTCAAGCCCATATTAAACATACAGGTTTTAAATGATACATTAGCTGGGATCCTGACTCCTTAAATACAGTCTTTGACCACAAAATAAATGAGCGCTATCTGACTTTGGAGGCCAAAAGCTAAGCTTTATTAGAAGTACACCTTAATCAAGTAAGTTAATAGATCATAATTACTTAATAGATAAAAACCTATTTTATCTATTAATAGATAAAAATCTCATTAAAATTACATGCCTCTCCCTTACAGTGAAATACGATTGTAATAATTAATTCCCAGTTTAGAATTGAAAAAACAGCTTTTGCCTAGACTGACTGGCTGTCTTTTGGAGACAGAAGTTTCAAAAAAACAGTTAAGTTGGCAAATAGGTAAACTGAATGTAGTATAAGAAAAGTAAAATAGCCCTCCAAAATATTTAAAATGAGATATCATCTTCACACTGCATCAAGCTGTCAATAAACATTGCTGTTCTTCTAGTCTCAACTAATAGTACCAGAGGTGGGGGAGTCACAACTAGGATTGGGGCATTCACAAAATACATCCAAAAGTTAGAACTCAAGTCTCTCCATACAAGAAGCAGGCCATGGATTTCCAAATAAGAAAATAAAAGCCATCAGCTTTTATACCTATAGCATAAGGCACAAATTAAAGGGGACTCACTGTCATTTAACAGAAAGACCACTAGACTCTACCAGGCATCAATCAGGTAGTGAAGGATCTAGTCTCGGGTCTTTCCATAATTATAAAACTGAGGCAAGTCACCTAACTTTTTGTTTTCTATCTGTGAAACAGAGGACAAGAGCTAGATCAATTTTTCTCAACTAAGGGTGTTTTTGTTCCCCAGGGGACGACTGGCAATATCTGGAAGTATTTTTGATTGTCACAACTGGCGGGAGAGCATGTTAACCACATTTTGAATTTTCTGTATTTTATGATGCTTTGACATTGTGGGGGCCTTGCTAATCCTGGAAAGACTGCCCCTCACAGGGCTAACCAGTTCCTAGGGATAGAAAACAACTCTGTCTGTCATCTGTGCCTTTCATATGAAAACCAGAAACTATACCCCAACCACCTCTTTTACCTCTCACACACGAAGCCAATACTTGCTCTGCCCTAAATCGGCCCAGGACCAGATACCAGATAAACTAGAGGCCACTCCTGTAGCCCAGAGACACTGAAACTATTCAAACTGTCCAATTCTAAGCTTGCTAACACTTGCTTACCCTGTCTCACCTATTCTTTCCCTTGGAAAGCACAATAAAAGTTCTAGGCCATGCTTGCTCCTCATTCCTTCTGCCTCCTGGCCAAACCACTGCTTCCCCTGGCGGCCCTGTGTGGTTTGGGCTGCCTCCTGCTGTTGGGAACTGTAAGTAATAAACTCTTCTTTCAAGGAAGTTATTTTTACATGTCATCTTACCAGACCTGATTAAAACAAAATCCCAGGTACATTTTAAAACAGGAGGGTGTGCTATCAGTATGTAGTGAGCAGAGGTCTAGGATGCTGCTGAACATCCTATAATGCATCAGACAGCCCACAGCAAAGAATTAGCCAGCCCCAAATGTCAACAGTGCCAAGGTTGAGAACTCTGGACTAGATGAAAGCTTATGTTTCTACTGTTTGATTCAAATAGGTCTGACAGGTTGAACTGCCTGGGGAAGATTCTGCTGTGACATGCAAAAGAGCACTGTAATTCTGAGTTATCCCACAGACTTAGGTGCACTAAAAAATCTTCTTTACAATAACAATTATGGTTAAGGGATTTGATCTGTAGTACAGACACATTAACCAAGTGCTGAAGTAATGCTGAGAATAGGAGTGTAATGCTCAATAAAAATTAAAAAATATTCTAGCAGGAAATAAATGTGTGGTAGTGACAAGAACACTTTCATAAAATAAACTCTACCACAATCCATAAAAGGCACTAAAAATCAATGTCTTGGTATAATATAACATGGTAAAGAAAAGAAGCCCAGCAAACAGTCATTACCTTCAGATTAGGGAGTCATAAACTCAGTGTTTTCCCCTCACTGCCACTTACCTTCGCCCCCCAACTGTTGCTGCCCCCCAAAACATACCAGGGATTAATAATTCAAGGATCAAGGGTCTCTACCTTAGCCTTTAGTGATGTATAAGATAAACAACATCCATTTTGCAAAACAAAACATATATTCAGGTCCGCTTTACAAGGACTGCAGTACTGCCCAGAGTCTACTTAGATCTATTCTACCAACGACTAGAAACTTTGATCCAGTTTGTTCAGCATCTTTCAGAAAGGTAAGAATTAGATTTAAGGTCATGAAGAACCTTCTAGAGACACTTTCTACACTGCAACCACCCTGATAAGAAGCCCTGAAGAGGCACAAAGGCTGGCATATGCTGTATTTTACCCAGAACATTATTCCCTGCCCAGAGAGAAAAGATTTCTAAAAAGGGAGAAAATCTCGGGATATGTTTGAAAATAAAAACATTGGAAAAATGCTTAGACTAGTTATGTTATTAAAGATACAAGGCAAAAGTGGGGGAACTGAGAAGGAGGCAAAAAGTTCATTTGGATAAAGAGGAGGAGTGGGAGAGCAGCGTCAGGGAAAAGTCATGAAAAAGATAAGTGCTCGAAGGCAGCTACTTAGTATCAAAGGGTTTGAAAAATTTTTTCATTTCTCTTTATGACCTAGCACCTACCTCAGGGTCAAGATCATCCAGAACAGTTTCCAGTTGTTTCAGTTCTATTTCTGACAGATTCCCAAGGAGTTCGTCTTCATCCAGGTCCTTGTATTTTTCTAAGTCCTTCCGGAACGACAGTGCCATGGTTTGCAGTAGAGGAAGTCACTTAATTTTTGCTATCCAGTACAGTGAGAAGTGATTTTTTTTTTCTCAAAACTATGGAAAGAAAACAAAAACATTTAAAATGTTATGTCATGTCCACCTTACTTCGATCTATTCTAGGTTAAATGAAATGTAATTTCCATGTGTCATAAATTATTTGACCATATATCACGCACTACCCTCCTCTATGAATCATTAAATGCCTTTACCTTTCGCCTTTTGTTGACAAAAAGCAACCAAATGGAAACAGAAAGCCACAACTAGGAAGAAAGAGGTGAAGGAGCGAATAAAATTCAAATCCATTACAACAGTTTCTTGATAGTACTTAAGATTTCCTGATAACTGAGTTTTAGGGGGGGAAGAACTTATGTATCAAAATATAATTTTTTCCATCAATGGTTTTCCAATGATTGCTATCAGAGTACTTTGTTTAAGCACAGTATGTTTGAGGTATGCTTGTTTTGCTGTACATTGCTTAGAAGAACATTATTTTCTGACTCAATGTAGAGGGGCTATTAATATACTCTCCACAGGAGAAGTGGCCATTGGAAAAAAATGAGAAGGTGAATTTAAAAAATATTTTTGATAAGGCATTTTTTTCCTTCTAATTTATATTTTGCTGCATTATGAAAATAATACATTTATTTGGCAAAGTAACCTAGGTTCCAAGTTGAAATAAAATTCTGAAGAAAGTGTACTGATTATTTTTTAAATGTGAAATATTATATATGTTCTAAACAATACATACTAACATTCAGGAAAAAGCATCTTTAAAGGAAAAAAAAAAACAAAACAGCATTCTGAAAATGCTCTAGTAAAACACTCAATACCATGTTGTGATATGTCATCCACTGACCGGAAAGATAGGTCAGGTGGGTCTGGTGATAGGAAAGGATCTTCACCATTTCCTGACCATGTCCATCCCTCCCGAACAGCTCTGAAGTGGCTCAAAAAGCAGCATCTTTCCAGACACAGTAGGACTGCACCATAGGAAAACAACACTTAAAATGTGTACCGCAAGAAGTGTGAAATAAAAATGAAGTATTTCTATAAGTTCTAGCCACACATGTGGATAATTTGTCTCATAAATGTTTCTGTGTGACTAAGAAACAATCCTGAGACTTAGCGATGTGGCTAAACTTTTTTCGGCTGTAAAACACCCAGTACTTCAAAGCTGGGATACACTTCCTACTCCCTTCTCCCAATTTTTCCTAACTTAATATTTTTACTAATACATTTTCCTCCTCAAACTAGTAACACTTTTGGATCCTTTTATGTGTTTTCATCTCCTATGAAGAAAGGAAGGTTTACTACAGGGGTCTGTCAGCTAGCAAACATCTGGGTCCAATAACAAGCAAATAAATGGAGCCGCACTTATGCAGATGTTAAATTAGAGGCATTTTGTATAACAGCCCTAGATGGGTCTGGTTTACACCTGTTCTGCTGGCACCTCATCTGGTTTAGCAGCAACCCTGCATTATTTTTCGCTTTTTTGAGCACACAATTATCATCATTATTGTCATTACTAAGCTTGGTAAACCTCCCCTGTACTTCCAACTTTAAGACCAGGGAGTATATCTTCTCAATTAAAAACAATAAAGTTTGTGGAGACTATTCAATAGAAGGTATTAGCGCTTTCAAATATATTAACCATAAAATGCAATTTAAAGAAGGTGGCAGGTAATTACAGGGGAAAACACAGAAAACATTTTGAAAAAATACTTCCTTCATTAAAGTATCAATGATATGGTATTTGAGACAGATAAGGGTAAGAAAATGATAAAAGTACATGAATATGTACTAAGAGTAATCAGCTTTCACTATTTTTTAATGTTTGATCAAATCAAAAAGTCTTTAATATAGTTTAACATATTTTTGAAGTTTACCAGTTCAATTCAGTTGCTCAGTCATATCTGACTCTTTGCGACCCCATGGACTGCAGCATGCCAGGATTCCCTGTCCATCACCAACTCCTGGAGTTTACTCAAACTCATGTCCATTGAGTCAGTGATGCCATCCAACCATCTCATCCTCTGTCCTCCCCTTCTCCTCCTGCCTTCAATCTTTCCCAGCATCAGTGTCTTGTCCAGTGAGTCAGTTCTTCACATCAGGTGGCCAGAGTATTGGAGTTTCAGCTTCAGCATCAGTCCTTCCAATGAATACTCAGGACTCATCTCCTTTAGGATGGACTGGTTGGATCTCCTTGCAGTCCAAGGGACTCTCAAGAGCCTTCTCCAACACCACAGTTCAAAAGCATCAATTCTTTGGCGCTCAGCTTTCTTTATTGTCCAACTCTCACATCCACACATGACTACTGGAAAAACCATAGCTTTGACTAGATGGACCTTTGTTGGCAAAGTAATGTCTCTGCTTTTTAATATTCTGTCTAGGTTGGTCATAGCTTTTATTCCAAGGAGCAAGCATCTTTTAATTTCATGGCTGCAGTCACCATCTGCAGGGATTTTGTAGCCCCCCAAAATAAAAGTGTCTCACTGTCAACTGTTTCCCCATCTATTTGCCATGAGGTTTATAGCATACAATAAAGCAAACATCTTGCTCAATAAATATTTTAAAGAAATAAGTATTAATTATTTTGAGCATCCCCTCACCTTACTCTCAAGTGTTCCAGCTTGGGCCATAAAATAAACGGTCATCCTGTAAAAGTGGAGCTCAGCTGCTCACTGCTCAAAAGCCAATAAAGAGGCAAGGCTGGTGAAAAGGACACTGCTTTATTTTGGATGCCAGTAGCTGAGGGTGGGGGGGCTGTCCAAAGGCCAACCCCCACTCTCCCGGCCAACAATCAGTGGGCTAGAGCTTTTATAGGCCAAGGGAGGGGGCTACATACAGAAACAGCACAGTCACCTCTGACAGGCATCTGAAATTGGTCATTGGTGGTCTGACCAGCATCATCTTGATGTTTTAACTACAGTTAATCTTTAGTTCCAGGGCTGGTTGGTTTCCATTTCTTGAGGTCAGCTCTTGGAATTGTGTCAACTTAAGTCATGGCTAACAATCTGATCATCGTGTAATTAACTTCTCCACCTGGTGGGTTTTCAGTATCTATGACAGCTCACAGGACAAGGCTCAAAACATTATCCACAGCCCCTGTGTGTGTGTCAGTCAGTCATGTCTGACCCTCCGCAATCCCATGGACTCTAGCTTGCCAGGCCCCTCTGTTCCTGGAATTTACTGTAGCTTAAGGTAAAGAATCTGCCTGCAGTGCAGGAGACCTGAGTTCAATCTCTGGGTCGGGAAGATCCCTGGAGAGGGAATGACTACTCACTTCAGTATTCCTGACTGGGGAATCCCAGGGACAGAAGAACCTGGTGGGCTACAGTCTATCGGGTAGTAAAGAGTCAGACACAACTGAGTGACTAACACATACATACAGCCCTTGAGGAGAAACAAAGTCCTTGACTTTGCTTAATGACAAAACTAGTGTTATTTGGCCTCCTGTGACTGTTTTCCTTTGTTTCTGCATGTTCTCACTTCTCTGATTAAACTTATTTTTTAGCTAAATAGTTTCCACAGGAAAAAAACAGGTAGAGGACATGGACAATATCCATAGGGTCCTGCTCCATTTCAATCTTACTAATAAGGTACCATAATGGGCAATATGATAGGAATGAGGCATTAGGGGCAAAGGCAATGTTACATGCCACTTAGGATCTATAGGTTTGGAACACGACATCCCTTAAAGTGACTGAATAGATTACTCCAAGAGATGGCTTCTTATCCCAAAGTAAAATCTGTCACACAAAGCACTGAATAGTATTGCTTAAAGATTAATAAAATGAACACCATGAAAACATACAACCCAGACTCAGAAAGAGAACATTACTAGTACTCTCATGTTCCCCTTTCCATCTCTTCCTCTAGAAGTAGTAGCCAGTAGAAGTACTGAATTTTGAATTAATCATTCTCTTACTTTCTTTACAGTTTTACCTCAAATGTACATACCTTTAAACAGCTTTAATTTTGCTATTTTTGGTACATATACATATGTGGACTTGTACATTATGTATCCTATCTTTTTCCTGATATATTTATTTAATTTAAAAATTTCTTACAATGCCGTGTTGGTTTCTGCCATACAACAATGCAAATCAGCCATAATCATACAAACATTCCCTCCCCACCCCCTCCACATCCCATCCCTCCAGGTCATCACAGAGCACAAGACTGGGCTCCCTGTGCCACACGGCAACTTCTCACCAGCCAGCCATCCCACACCTGATAGTGTATATATGCTGATGCTCATCTCACTCTCCCTCCCCACATTGTGTCCACAAGTAGGACACACAACACAAGCTTTTTATACTCAATGTTGCTTTGAGTTCATATTTAGAGCTGAATTCTTCCATTTTCATTTCTATATAATATTCCACTGTATAAATGAACATCTGAAGACCTGTAGTCTTTCCAGCTCTATTTTTCTTCTGTGAAATAGGCTGCTTATTGCCTCTTTTCCTGGTATACATGTGCAAGAGTTTCTCCAAGTTGTCCAAAGCTAGGAATGGAATTGCTGGGACAAGGGTATGGTATTACCAACTTTACTAAGTAATGTTAAACTATTTTTAAAGTAATTGTACCAATTTAGATTCATGGAAGATTCAGTGCATGACAATTCATGTTGCTCATCCTTGCTAACTGCTGATATTATCAGAGGTGGGGTATTTTTACCCACTCTGGTAGATATGAAATGATATTTCATTGTGGTTTTAATTTGCATTTTGCTGAGCTGTAATGAGGCTGTGCATCTTTTTATGTTCTTGGCCTTCGTCACTTAGACACAGTGGTGTTCCTTAGTCTATGAAGAACCTCTGCCCATTTTTATATTGTGTTATCTTTAAAAAACAGGATAGATGCTCTTTACCATATTCTGGATACTAATCTTTGTCAGTTATACATTTCAAACCTCTTCTCCCATTTTAACTCTTACTAATTTATTTATTTATTTTTTTAATTAAAAAATGTCAATGTTTATTTACACATTGCATACTGCAAAAAGCTTGAAGGAAAAAAAAAGAAGTTTCAACAGGAAGTTAATGAGCAAATTCTGCCTGTTTCGAGCACTTGGGGGAGATTGAATCTCGGAGTTCTTAGAGGCTGGAATCCTGATGGAAGACCTTCAGATGTTCTAATCACTGGCCAAGGAAGTGCCATACTTGATCTTCTTCATTACTTCCTTTATTCAATGAAAACGACACCGATTCAACTAATGATCTTGCTTCCTCTTGAGAGCAACGGAAAGGGCTATCACATACCTGCACATTTGTGCAATTTTTAGCCCCGCCATCACACTTGTCCATAAGCAATGCTTTCCAACATTCATGAGTAGATTTAATGATTTCAAGAGCAAAAGCCTTGTTCTTGAATTCTCCATTAAGAGCAAACTGGTTTTCCGGTTTTCCCTCTGGTATCTTACAAAATCTAAACCAATTAAGCATAGCTTCTAAGTAACCGGGTTTGTACTTCTTAACATCTTCAATATCACGAAACTTTGAGGCTTCAGGATCATTCACATTGATAGCAATTAACTTCCAATCTGTTTCACCCTGATCAATAAGAGCCAAAACTCCAAGGATCTTCACATGAACAACTTCTCCACAAGAAAGAACCTTTGAGCCTATTTCACAAACATCAATAGGATCATTATCTCCACAGCAGTCTGTGCTCTTATCTTTTCGATGGGGATCTTCCCAAGTCTGAGGGAGGGCACCATAATTCCATATATAACCCTTGTGAGGAAAGATATTTGCCACATAGCGAAGCTTGCCATCCTTCACATCTTGTTTAATGGGATTCAACGGTTCCTTCGTGGCAAATCTCCATTTTAGCATTTGTCCACCGAGGTACTTCCACAACCATGTTAAACACATTCATTTGCTCCTGATCACTAGGAGTGTACTTCCAGTCTGCTTTTCTTCTCTCAGGCTAAAATGCACATGACCTCATATTCATCATTTTGTGCTCTTTTTGTAGGAATGCCATTTTCCTCTTCAGAGTCCACCTTCAGAGGAATATCATGAAAGGGGGAAATGTAGTGACCAGCTACATTCTTGAAAAAGAGGCGGTAATCGGGAGAGTGGGGCTGGCCGCGCTCCTCCGTGCGGTACAGGGCCATGGTCCGAAGCGGCCCGGGCCCTGCGCTGGCTCTCCGTGGCAGGCGGGCGGCGGCGCCCACCAGCCAGGCCCAGCTGGTCTAACTCTTACTAATTTATTAAGGTATTTCTTGGGGGAAACATATCAAAGTGTTTTTCAATTATCTAAGGAATTTACTTCCTTGGCTTGTTTTTTCCTTTTCAAAGCAATGCAAAGGCATTTCCTTTAAGTTCAGACTATGAAATTTTGCCAAGACGCAAGAACTTCCAGGTAGTTCATCCTACCTAACGTTGCTCAAAACTCACCAAAAGGGTTCAGATTCCTAACTTGATTGTACCTCTCATCCTTCACTGAGGATTAGCTGTGTAGTGACAATATGCCAAGCATCAGCAAGAGAAGCTTTGAACTTCTTAGGAAGGGAAGCTCTGGAAGCTGTGCTTAGCTCTGCTTTCTGTCCATGGATAACATGTCCTCTCTTGTTTGCCCTTTGACACTGGAAGGAGAACAAATGCTAAATGGTTTCAACCAGTGTCCTAGAGAAGGACACTGAGTCTACAGGAACTTCTTTTAATCACCAAGCTAATGTAAAATCCATTTCCTAAAAACACACTTCATAATTTAAACAGTACAGGAATAGATTTTTTTTTAACATAATAGTCTCAAAGTCATTTTTTAAAAAAAGGTTGTATATAAGCAAAAATTAGTTTTGCCAATTAAGTAAACTTTTAGGCAGAAGTAGAAAATGTTTAAACTTGAAATTCTGGTATGATCAAACTCTTTAGTTCTCTATCCTTGACTCATTTTTTGGAGCAAAGCAGCAGTCTTCAAGTTTTAGAGTGACTCAGAACCCCCTGGAGGGCTTGTTAGAACGTCACCCTGAGGCCCCACCCCACGTTTCCTGACTGAGTAGGCTCAGGGGTAGGGCTGAAAAGCTGCATTTTTAACAAGCTGCCAGGCGGTGCTGATACAGTCGGTCTGGAACCAGGCTTTCAGAGTCCTGCTCTACTCTAGGGGAACAAACTGTATAAACTGACAGCCAGATCTCTCTCCTCCTGGCAGTCTATCTTGTACTACTCACAGGCTGAAGAACTTTGTTAAAATAGTCCCTAAAGTCTAGAGGAACTGCTGCCAGGATACAGTTTCCTTTTCACTCTGCCACTGCTCTCCAATGGATTTCAGATAGTGGAAGCAATACCAAGGAACATAAGGAAACTCCTGAAATATTCTGGGCCAAAAGCCTTCATATCATTAACCGACTTCTTTTCAGTTATTACCTGTCTCTAGAATCCTCCTTTTTCACACATGACTTCGTGATGGATTGTCAGCCATCTCATTTGACAGATGTTTTAAATTTTAGCTTTCTATTTAGATTTTTTAAATAGCTATATTCTAGATCTTCGGGATCACTTTAAATGAAGCACTACTGTGAGGTTCCAGATGCCATATTTACATTTATATTTATCACTGCATCAGCACCAGGTAGAACTGCTTTAATTGTTCTTGTGTAAAATTCTTAAAGAGATGGGAAAACCAGACCACCTGACCTGCCTCCTGAGAAATCTGTATGCAGGTCAAGAAACAACAGTTAGAACTGGACATGGAACAACAGATTGGTTTCAAATTGGGAAAGGAGTATGTCAAGGCTGTATGTTATAACCCTACTTATTTCACTTATATGCAGAGTACATCATGAGAACCTCTGGGCTGAATGAAGCACAAGCTGGAATCAAGNACTCCAGGAGTTGGTGACGGACAGGGAGGCCTGGCGTGCTGCGGTTCATGGGGTTGCAAAGAGTCGGACAAGACTGAGTGACTGAACTGAACTAATGGAGACACTGACATAGAGAACAGACCTATGGATGTGGTGGGGGGAGGGGAGGAAGGAGAGGCTATCTATTTTACATAGATAGCCAATGGGAATTTGCTATGTGACTCAGAGAACTCAAACAGGGGCTCTGTAACAACCTAGAGAGGTGGGATGGGGAGGGAGGTGGGAGGGAGGTTCAAGAGGGAGGGGATATGTGTATACCTATGGCTGATTCATGTTGATGTTTGGCAGAAACCAACAAAATTCTGTAAATTAATTATCCTTCAATTAAAAAAGAATCAAAAAATTCTTCCAGTAAAAAAAAAAAAAAAAGACAAAAAAACCCCACAACTGGAATTACATGATTCAGAGTTATATTCTTTCAATATATGAGGAGTTAATCCTCATTTCATCACTATTTCAATAGGGCAGGCTCTGGGTTCAGCCTCTTATCTTTTCTCTCTTTAATGCACACATGTGGTCATGTGCTCTGGTTCAAATTTCTAAGTCTCACAGTATCTTCAATGGGATAAGGTAAAGTACAGTGTCATTTGGCCTGCTGCCTATTTTTGTAAGTAACGTTTTATTGGAACATACTCACAGTCACTCTCTTATGTACTGTCTGTGGTTGCTCTTGTGCTACAATGGCAAAGTTGAGTAAATGCAACAGAGACCGATATGGTATGTCAAACCTGAAGTATTTACCATCTGCCAACTCCTGACCTACCAGATAAAATCGAAACTCCTCAATATGAGATATGAAGTTTACAAACGGATCCCAGCTAGCTTTCCAACATCATCTCTGGCTGCTGACCATCACATAGCCTATATGCCAAACAGACCCTTAAGTTTTAGGTCTCTATGCCTTTGCTTATTTCCCTCTCTCCACAATGAATGCACTCTTTCTCATCTTCCTCTGTCCTCAAATCCTTACATATTCTTTAAGGCCTAAGTAAACGTCATACAAATCATCCTGGACATTTTCTCTGCTCTCCATTCCCACCCCCAGGAAAGATCGGTATCTTCAACAGATAAGATCAACATATGAGGATGAAAAGAGAATGTTTCCCAAAAAAGCACAACAGATGACCCTAGAATGGTAGTAACATAACCACAGAAAGAAGGGGTTGCCATGCAGATATAAGAAAATGGGGTTCATTAAGAAAGATTTGGCTGTGTTCATTCAGCACAAGGGAAGCTCGATATCCTGGTCAGCAGATGTGACTGGCTAGTTCCCATTGCAGTTCTATGCCTTGTACGAAGCAGCTCAGATGGCCAATGTGTAATGTCATTCAACATTTACTCAGTTCCCCTTATTCTTCTCCGTGCTCACCAAGAAATCTAATTAAAACTTGGCTATTCACATAGCTTTCCTCACTGTAAATTAATATTAACTGATGTTTTGAATGAAGTACCAATCTTTTATGAGCATGGTTAGTATGGGCCATTTTTTAAGAAATCAGGCACCAACTGATGGATTGAAATCAGGTCTCTGCAAAACAAAGCTGAGGACCACCACATGAAATTCTATTCCAGGGTTGGCTGGCCAACTACTTATAAAGACACCCTCTATCTCAAGTCAAAGCAACAATGACAGTGTATTCAGTCATTGTCTGTCTGTCTTGCTGGACACTGTGAGTCCCTCACAGAAGAGATTCTCTCCCAGAGCTCATTTCTTACTGGGATGCCATCAAGAGGCACAATACTTGGTTATCCATAGGTAAGACAATTTTGATTTAACTGGATCACGTATCACTTCCCCTTTCCTTTTTTAAGCCCCTCTACCTGCCCCTTTCCGTACTTTCATGGGGTTCTCGAGGCAGGAATACTGAAGTGGTTCGTGGTTCCCTTCTCCAGTGGACCACATTCTGTCAGAACTCTCCCATGACCCATTTGTCTTTAGCAGGTGGCCCTGCACGGCATGGTTCATAGCTTTACTGAGTTACACAAGGCTGTGATCCATGTGATCATTTTGTTTAGTTACCTGATGAGTCAACATATTGGAAAAGACTTTGATGCTGGGAAAGATTGAGTGCAGGAGGAGAAGGGGGTGACAGAGAATGAGATGGTTGGATGGCACCACCAAATCAATGGACATGAGCTTGAGTAAACTCTGGGAGATAGTAAAAGACAGGGAAACCTGGCGTACTGCAGTCCATGGGACCCCAAAGAGTCAGACACAATTTAGTGACTGAACAACAACTAACAACTACCTGTCCCAGATATCTACAATCTCCTTGTTCCAAAATTGGGAAAGGAGTACAACAAGGCTGTATATTGTCACCCTGCTTGTTTAACTTACATGTAGAGTACATCACATGAAATGCCAGGCTGGACGAATCACAAGCTGCAATCAAGATTGCCGGGAGAAATATCAACTACCTCAGACTATGCAGATGATACCATGCTAATGGCAGAAAGTAAAGAACTAAAGAGCCTCTTGATGAGGGTGGAAGAGGAAAGTGAAAAAGCTGGCTTGAAACTCAATATTTAAAAAACTAAGAACATAGCATCCAGTCCCATCACTTCATGGCAAATAGAAGGGAAATATGTGGAAGCAGTGACAGATTTTATTTTATTGGGCTCCAAAAACACTGTGGACGGTGACTGCAGTTGTGAAATTAAAAGACAATTGCTTCTTGGCAGGAAAGCTACAACAAACCTAGACAGTGTTAAAAAGCAAAGACATCACTTAGCCAACAAAGGTCCACTATAGTCAAGGCTATGGTTTTTCCATTAGTCATGTACGGATATGAGAAATGGACCATAAAGAAGGCTGAGCACTATAGCATTGATGCTTTTTGAACTGTGGTGCTGGAGAAGACTCTTAAGAGTCCCTTGGACTGCACAGAGATCAAACCAGTCAATTTCATTTCCTAAAGGATATCAACCCTGAATATTAATTGGAAGGACTAAAGCTGAAGCTGAAGTTCCAATACTTTGGCGACTTGATGAGAAGAGCTGACTCATTGGAAAAGACCCTGATGCTGGGGAAGATTGAAGGCAGAAGGAGAAGGAGGCAACAGAGAATGAGACGGTGAGATAGCATTACTGACTCAATGGACATGAATCTGAGCAAATTCCAGGAGATAGTGGAAGACAGAGGAGCCTAGCGTACTGCAACTCATGGGGTCACAAAGAGTTGGACACGACTTAGCTACTGAACAACAACAATCAACTTTCCATACTTCTGCTAATTCTTTACAGCCTCTACATTAGTCATCTTTTCTTCCTTTAGTATCAAACCATTCAGAATTCTCTGTTGTCTAATCTTCCCCAGTTAAAAGAAAAAACATCTGACTATCAGTCACCAGACTTCTGAAATGAAACACATGCCCTGATAAAGAGTTGATTTTCTTATGAGTAAAGAAATGAATTTCCTCCTTGCAGACTACCAAGCCTCACTCTTCAGATGTGCTGGGCTTAAGACTGTGTGTCTTTTCCTCACTGGCTTCTCCTAGGACCCATTGGTACTGAACTAACCTGGCCCACCAGATTAGAAACTTTTTTTTTCTGTCTCAAGATTCCCAGATGATTATTTGCTTTCCAATATACTTAATATTCATTCAACAAATATTTTTGAACATCTCCTGCACCAGAAATTGACTTGTTCCAGGCAATAGGCAGGAGTAGTATACAAAACAGCCCAAGTTCCCTGCTCCAATTTAGTTTAAAGGTGGCAGAAAGACAAAAACAATGAACAGAAGACCCAAAGTAATAATAACACATATGATAAGAAAAACCTAGGACAATGCTATAGGTGACGTGAGAGTCAGGAAAGTTACTTTAAGTGGTTCTGATGACTGTTCTGAAAGGTGACTTTTCAGCCAAGATCTAAAAGTCTCTTGCAAAAATTTCTCAACCTAGGACTCTCCTAACAGTAGTAATCTAAGTCAGAAGCAGTGATGGCTTTGCTTGAATTTATAGCTGTGAAGACAGAAGTAGGAAAAAACATGTAATGTATTTCAGAAACAAAAGAACTTGTCCACAGACTGGCTCTAAGGAGATAAGGACAAGAGATGCCTGAAGGGCTGACCCCTGTGCTAATTTCAGTTTGTATTTAATAAATATTTTGTTGTTCTATACCTATTTTTCCTGAAGGGCTGAACATGGCCCTATGCTACCTATATTTCGAGGTCTGGGGAAAAAAAAAGGATTTTGGTTAATAGCTTCATAATGGTTTGTTTTGAGCTCCACATTGTAAACTGTTTTAATAAATTTTCAACAAACTAGTAATAATAATAACCAACTAACTAACCAAAATAAAGCAATTAAAAACTACTAAATAAAACTGCTGGCTATGGCTTGGTGGCCTAGTGATTAGGATCCTGGGCTTTTCCTGCTGTGGCCCAGGTTCAATCCCTGGTCCAGAAAATGAGATCCTGCGAACTGTGCGGCTTGGCTCCTCCATACCCGCCCTCCCCCGCAAAAGGGCATGACTTTGTTAATACTATTTTTGGCATCATCTTTTGCAAAGAGCTCAGTCTAAAAAGTGAAACAAGCAAATATCTGCCATGATTTAAAAAAAAAAAATACTACACAATTACTGTTCCTGACTTATTTTCTCTCCAATATTTTTGGCAATTATTGTGAAACGGCTGAGGAAGAGGTGATCATGAGTTTGCCACATAGCAATCACTGTGATTTCAAGATCCACACAGCTGACACTTCCAACGCCCAGTCTGAGTGCCTGACTTTCTCCCGAGGGTCTGGTCCTCTGCCCTCTGTTAGCTCTACAGCCCCATGGCTGTAACCTAAGGCTAATCATCACCAATAATCATATCCCTCCACAACTCAAATTCTTTGATCTTCTCTCTCTCTCAGGAACTCTTTTAGCAAAACCCCAATCCTGGTTAAAACGCTCTTCCTAGATAAAGCATGAAAAAAACACACGAACCGACTAGCCATATTTAATATTTATCACCCCACTAACATCAAACTAGTGGGTAATCCCATTGTATTTCCCTGGTCTAGTAACTCTCTCACAATCTAATATGACTATTTTACTTCTTATTTTCTTCACCTTCTTATTTTCCCTCAAACCTTTAATATTTCTTACCTATCACTCTCGGATGAAGATTCCACCTTAATATTTCACTAAGAATATTGAAGCAATCATAAAAGGATATGTGAATTCCCACTGCTATGTCTACCAACTGACCTGAATGTGTACCCATAAGTCTATTTTCCTTCTTGTTTTCATCAGCTGTTCAGACTCTTATTTAAGGCCAATCCCATAGTCTGTGACAAGATCCCATTCATGCCCATATATACATTATTACTCCAAAAGTTGGCCCTTTCTCGACAGGATCATGCCCATCAGCACACAGATAGGAACATACCTCCCCAAATTAAAAACAAGCACTCCTTTGACTTTATAGCCCCCTCCAGACACTTCACATCTCCCTCTCAACTATTTCTTGACTCTTTATAGCAAAATTCCTCAAAAGAACCATTTGGTTTTGGTACCCCAAGTTCCCTCCCTCTTATTCTACCTTCTTCAATCTGGTGTTCATTCTTAGCACTTACTCCACCCAAATTGATCTTGTCAGCAATGACCTGCATGGTGCCAAATCCAACTGCCAATTCTTGAAGCAGCATCTGGTAAGACATCACGTTTTTCATCCCAAAACACTTTTCTCACTTGGCTACGGGGCCATTATTTTCTCTTGGTCTCCTCTTATCTCTTGGCTGCTCATTCTCCTTTGCTAGTTCCTCCTCGTCTTCCCTACCTTTAAACAAGGAAGCATCCCTAGGACTTAAATTCCTTGGATAGCCTCTCTTCTATACTTACTCCCCAGGTGACTTCATATACTGACAAATCCTGTTTTGTTTTGGTTTGTTTTTCATTTCAACTCCTGGATTTATAATTTAATTTGGACTTCTCTCCCAACCTCCACACTTAAAAATTTCTACCTATGTTAACATTTCTACTTGGATGGCTTACAGATATCTCAAACACAAATATACAAACAGATTCTAATTTTTTCCCCCAGACCTACTACTCCCGCCATGTTTTTACCATTTAATAAATAGCAACTCCATTCTTTTAGTTGCTCAATCCACAAATCTTGGAGTTAACTTGGACTTCTCTCACACACTGCATCTGATCCATCAAACATTTGGTTCTATCTTTAAAACATCATGGACTTACCATCTCCACTGCTTCCACTTTGGTCAAAGTCATCATCATCTGTTTCCTGGGCTATTGCAATCCCCTCCTAACTGGGGCTCCTGTAGGCCCATATAGCCTGTAGTCTATTTTCAGCAAAGGTACCGGAGGTACCTTGTTCTTTTTAATTGAAGTTTTTATTGAGATATTTATAGATTCACATGCTGCTGCAAGAAGTGACACAAAGGGATCCCTTGAACATGCTGTCCAATTTTCTCTGACAGTAACATTTAACTTATATGTAGAGTACATCATGAGAAATGTTGGGCTGGAGGAAGCACAAGATGGAATCAAGATTCCTGGGGAAAATATCAATAACCTCAGATATGTAGATGACACCACCCTTATGGCAGAAAGTGAAAAAGAACTAAAGAGCCTCTTGATGAAAGTGAGATGATAACACCCTTATGGCAGAAAGTGAAAAAGAACTAAAGAGCCTCTTGATGAAAGTGAAAGAGGAAAGTGAAAGAGCTGGCTTAAAACTCAACATTCAGAAAACTAAGATCATGGCATCTGGTCCCATCACTTCAAAAGGGGACAACAGAGGATGAGATGGTTGGATGGCATCACAGACTCAACCGACATGGGTTTGGGTGGACTCCAGGAGTTGGTGATGGACACGGAGGCCTGGTGTACTGCGGTTCATGGGGTCACAAAGAGTCGGACATGACTGAGCAACTGAACAGAACTGAAAATTTTGCAAATGTTCAGTTCATAGTATATCACAATGAACATACTGACATTGACATAGTCTGCTGATCTTAGTCTGATTTCCCAGTTTTACTTATACTCATATTTGTGTATATGTTATAGTATGTTCCATACAATTTTATTATCTTTTAGGTTTGTGTGCCCACCACTACAGTCAAGATACTGAATGTTTCAACATCACAAAGATTCCCCATGTTGTCCTTTTATAACTACACCCATCTCCTTCTCTAACCCTATCAAACAACATTTGATGCCCTCCATTTCTAAAATTAAGAACTGCCCTCTATTTCTAAAATTAAGTCATTTAAAAAAAGGTTATATACATAGAATCACACAATATGCAACCCTAGGATCTGGCTTTTATCATTAAGCATAAATTCCTAAAGATTCATCCAAGATGCTCTGTATCAATAGTTCACTTTAAGTTATATTCCATGGTATGTATTTTCTGCGGTTTAACCATTCAGATGTTCAAAGACAGTTCTTGACGATTATAAATAAAGTATCTATGAACATTTGTGTACAGGTTCTTGTGTGAATTGGCTGGATCCCATTAATTCTGCTGCTCACATCTTCTAATGTCATCTTATCTCAATCAGAATAAAAACCAAATGGCTTTCCAATGGTCCACATGGCTGTACAACATCCCAGCTCCCCCGACACAAGCCCCAACACATCTCCAACCATTCTTCACTTTGTTCACAGCACTTTAGCAACATTTATCTTCTTGTTCTTCCTCCAACAAACCAGGCGTACTCCTGTCTGAGGGTTTTTCCACTTGATGTTCCTTTCTTCCTATAAAAATCTTCCCTAAAATGGTTAAATAACCTGTTGTTTCACTTCTTTAAGATCTCTGCTTTACAAGCAACAAAAGTTCACTGTATTGCACAGGGAACTATCGTCAATATCTTGTAATAACCTATAATGGAAAATAATTTGAAAAATAATATATGTGTATATGTGTAACTGAATCACCTTGCTGTGTACCTGAAACACTGTAAGTCAACTATACCTCAATAAAATAAATATATTAAGAAAAAAAATCTCTGCTTAAAGATCAACTGATTTGAGAGGAGTTCTCTGTCCACTACATATAAAATAACAACTCCCACAGGCTCCTCCACTACTGTATTAGGCATTCTCTACTTTCTTACCCTATATTTCTCTCTATATTATTATCTAACATGCTATGTATTATCTATATCTTGTCACTAAAACCTAAACTATATTCCATCAAGAACTCTGCTTTGTTTAGTGCTACATCATCAGAGAATACATCACAGCACAGGCCAAAACTAGAAAACAGCAAACATATCTAATCTTAAGACTAAGGGTAAACTTACGAAAGTCAACTTAAGTCAACCTGGAGTCATTCAGGATTACTGAAACACTAGCCTCTTACCTTTAAATGACAGTAGCTTTGTTTAGGATGTTTCTTCCTAGATCAAATGTAAGTTAAGAAGTTGTTTAAGAAATAAATCAAGGCTTATTTACTAAGAAGCAAATAAATGAAGCTGAAAATTAACATTTGATTGAGTTCACTCTGTATTTTTAGCTTTTTTTCCTTCAAAATTTGCCTTTTTAAAAATAAAAATACCTCCAAGCAGAGCTAAAGCAAAAAAGAATGACAATACCAAGTACTGTTAAGAATGACAATATCAAATATTGGCAAGGATGTGGAGCAACTGATATGCACAATTTGCTAAAAGAATGCAAACTGAGTCAACCAGTTTAGAATACTCATACCACAACGGTGTAGCAATTGCCAGTCCCATAATTCCACTCTTTCCAAAAACCATATATAAGAAATTGGTCTCCTATGCTCAGAGACACTGTGTTTAGCTAGCACAGCTCTCTAATTACAGTAGGTATTAAATTCAGGTTTGTCTTTTTGTTTCAGATACTGACTATTGGCTGGTAGTCTTATCCTTTTATGCTAAAGAAAATTTAATGACTACACATTTCTTTTTAACCAATAAAAGTATTTCAATGTTGATACATATCAGACAACAGTATTTAGGATCAAAATATTCTCTCTGGATACATATCTATTAGTCTTTTGAACTGAATATGGTTCAATATCCAAAACTTGTTAAATATCTGATTCAATATGTTTTGGTTAAAGAAATTCAAATCAACATTCCTTTTTCTTTCTTGTTTGGGCCTGGCTTCAGAAATAACCTGGAAACAATTTTAAAATAAGCTATCTCTAACATTTAAAGCATCTAAATGTTGTCCTATTTAGTGTCAGCCCTGAGTTTCAACTCTGCTGGTTTGAGGAACATTCCCTTTGATGGAGAAGGCTGGAGTAAAGAAAGTCCTCCATTCCTGGCATTTGCTAAAGTGCAGGAATATCTGTCAGGATTACTGTGCAGCAGATTCCTCAACCACAAGAGTTTAAAAGTCTCATAGGTCATTTCCTTTTTATGAGCTTATGATTCTAGATAACACAGTATAACCAAAAAATGTACTTTGGACACCACTGTGTCCAAAATACTATGCACACCATATTTACCTTCTAAAAAATAAAAACCATTTTATTTTAGGTGTATATATTACTTTTGTAGTAAATAAGACATTTTTTAAAGGAAATAATTGGATGTTAAATCTTTCTGTTCTGTTCACTGCCTCTTCTATACCATGAAGCATAAAAGGCAGGGTGTTAAATAATGATTTTTGTGGCATTCATAGGATGCTACAGTTGACCCAGATGTGGGTACATCTGAGTGAGGAAGCTGCTCAGCACACAGAAGTTTGAGAAAATGGTAGTTGATTATTCTGTGTTAAAGTTCCATGGAAACTTACCAACCTTCACTAAGTATGAAATTAGTTAAGCAGCTCTTTCTTGCCATTGTAACTGATGCTATCTTGATTTCTTTTTTTAAAAAAATGAGATCTATAGACCCACCCCAAAAGCACAAGGAAAGAATATAAAGTCTGGAGACTGAGGGCAGTCCAGAAAAACTTGTTAGGGCCAGAACAAAAAAGAGATTTAACTGGAAGCAGGTTACCCAGTGTGACCTTAAGGGCAAGAGCAACCAGGTCATTTCTGTGACTTTTAGGAGAAATACTTCATAGGATATCATACCACTTCAAAAACAATCTTTCAACAAGACTCTGCTGAGAGACCTTGTGGCTCCCATGGGAGCACCCCCACTTCCTTTTCTGGTTCAAAGTAGCCAAGCCAGCTCCCAGTTGGAGCCCACCTCCTCTCTATTTATTCTTGTTGTAGTTGCAGCATCAGAGATCCAGGGCAAGGTCAGAGAGGAACCCACTCTCTTTGGATGAATGCCACATCAACCACGCCCTTGGCAAACCCAGTTTTTAAGTACCAAATGTTTTTCAGTCTTCTTTTTGGTTTGTTTAATAGACTGGGTAAAGGAGGAAATGTGTAAGCTTTTCTAAAAGTTACTGCAAACTCAAAAAAAATAAAAAACCTTAAAATAGAAATGACATCATAAACAAGCCTCTCAGGGTATTAAGTTACAGAGCTCTTATCTCTGTTGGTTAACCTAAAAGATCCTTCTACCAGTCACACTGTGGACAAAACCAAATATGAGGTGACTTGCAGGAAAAGCTAATCAGTGCTCAGCCATCAATCAAAATGCTGCATCCACTCCAAGGATACAATGGAGAGACTAGTTTTCTCTCTCTCTCCTAAGGGAAGTATTGCTATGACTCATTCTTCCTCTTGCAAGAATTTTCTTAATACACCGAGTTAGTAAGCAAT